AACTGTAGTTTCTAGAGCCTGGAGGTCCATGAGGGTGTGGACTTTGCTTTATTCATTGTTGTGTCCCCAGAACCTAAAACAGTGCTGGCCACATAGTAAAGGCTCAATAAATATTTTATAAATGAATGAAAAAGAGGACCACAGGGAACAGGTGGCACTTTATTCGGCTTGAATGGAAGCATACGATTCATTAAGTTTGCAAACTTTTTGCTGTTGTTTTTCCTTCAAGACAAAATCAATCATTTCATACAAATATTAGGCAGAAAGTATCCTACCCCGTAGTACCCCCTTTAAAAAATATGATGAGTCAATGAGACAATGCTTTAAAAACCTTTAGCACAGTGCCCAGCACAGAGTAGATGGTCGATTACTTTGATCAAATCTTTTTATTAAAATTCCTTTTTCTTTTTTTTGCCAAATGTGTCGAGGTTTGTTTGTTTGTTTGAGAGTCTTGCTCTGTCACCCAGGCTACAGTGCAGTGGTGCAATCTCGGCTCACTGCAATCTTCACCTCCCAGGTTCAAATGATCCTCGTGCATCAGCGTCCTGAGTAGCTGGAATTACAGGTGCGTACCACCACTCCTGGCTAACTTTTATATTTTTAGTGGAGACAGGGTTTCACCATGTTGGCCAGGCTGGTCTCAAACTCCTGGGTTCAAGTGATCCGCCAGCCCTGGCCTCCCAAAGTGCTGGGATTACAGGCATGAGCCACCCGTCCTGGCCAGATAAAATCTAAGTAACAAGTTAGTGTGTCTGTAGCAGATTGTATTTTTTAAACTGGCCATACTTATATGTGTATCCCATCCAACATGCACTTCTTGTAATATTACTGAATTTCTTACACAGAGAGATGGGGGTCTATGTTTTCTCTTTTTAAATCTGGGAAGGGGCTTGTGATTTCTCCAACCCACAGAGCTCAGCAGAAGTGATGCTATATGACTTCTGAGACCACGTCAGGAAAAGGACACAGCCTTAGCCCATCTTTGTCTCTTGATATACTTGCCCTGGGAACCCACTGCTACGTTATGAGGCAGCCCAGGAGACGAGGATGGCCATGTGTGAGTGTTCTACTGACAGTGAGCACCAGATGCCAGACGTGTGAGCCAATTAGCTTTCATATGATTCCAGCCTCAGACTTTGAGTCTTTTTAGTAGAGATGGGGTTTCACCATGATATCATTGCCACTGTATCCTGTCTGAATTTCTAGCCCACAGAAATTGTGAGAAATAAGTCATTATTGTTGTTTTCAGCCACTAAGTTTTGGGGTGATCTGTTATGCAGCAACAGATAACTAATAAAATATCCTTCCAGAATTTCCTCTAACTAGCTTCAGGGGAAAATATTTAATTATGTATTCACTCATTCACGCACTCAACCATGAAACCCAACAGGGTATATGTGGCTTCAGACATGCTACTCTAGGAGGCGCAAATGTCATCAGAGTTCTCTGTCTTCTGTTTGTTGTACCTTTCGGGAGTTCTAAGCTTTCCTCCATTTTTTTTTTTTTTTTTTTTTTTAAGACGGGGTTTCACCATGTTGGCCAGGCTGGTCTTGAACTCCCGACCTCAGGTGATCCGCCCACCTTGGCCTCCAAAGTGCTTGGATTACAGGCATGAGCCACCGCGCAAGATCTCAGGAGAGGTGTATTTCCCCCGAGTAGCTGCATAAGCCCCAAGGAAGACCTGAGTCACCTGCTGTGGCAGTGAGTCACGTTTTCAATTTCAAGTCACAGGAAATCTCCTAGCAATGAGTTTAACCGTGAGTTTAAGCTATAAGGACATTTATTATTTAGTGAGAAGACGTGCAGAAGTAGGAGGCCCCAGCACTAGTCAGGCATCAAGGATGTCAGTGTTGTCTCTCCTCCACTTTACCCTTGTGCTTGGTGCTTCACAGTCACATCGTGGCTTCCCCAGCTTCAGTCATCGCATTGCTTTCAAGGCAGAAAGAAAGGGAAGGAACCAGAAACCGCCAGCTTGTTTCTCAAGCACAACACTTTTCTCAGGAAGTAAAATATCTAACCAGAAGCCATCCTCCTCCCTCACTGGGCAGAACCAGGTTACTTGGCTCCCCCGTAGCTGTGAGAGAAGCTGTGAGAGTCGTTGCCTTTCCAGTTCCTCCAGTGGGAAGCAGCAAGGGAGAAGGAGGCTGTGAATGGCTGCTGGGTTAGTGTCTTCCATGACTGCCTGGCCTTGAACTAATCATGGAGTCTCTAATTGGTTCAAAGGGTAGGGCCAGCACCACCCAAACTCTATGAATTGAGCGGAATTTGAAGGATAACATCTGGGCAGGTTGTTTGCCCAAAGCAAGGAGGCATTAGAAGGTATAAAAATATCTGACCATACAAGAGTTGCTGGGTGTTCCATTGTATGGATGAACTCACAATTCTTTTAATTTGCCAACTTTAGTTCCAAGACAAGAGGATGGGAGGATTGGTGTGGGTAGCAGTTGAAACACAGGTGTGGAGTAGGAGTAGTACAGGGAAACAGGAGGTTAGGGCTAGAGAGCATTTCAGTATGGTTAAGAGAATGGGCTGTAAGGAGGCTTAGGAAGAAATAATGGGTAATTACAGCTGGCTGTGAACGCCATGCTATGCTAATATTTCATTTAATAATCACAACAGCCACACGAGGGCAGTATTACTTAATTTCCACTCAATTCTCATGTTTCAGGTAAGAAAACTGAGACCTGGAGAAGTTGAGTCATTTGCTTGCATTACTCACTCAAGAACCAGAAATTAGCCAGACCAGAATTGAAACACAGGTCTTTCTGATTAGTCCCCAGGCGGACCCAAGATTGGGCCTCCAGGCTTCACAGAGACCTTGCACTGGTTCCTTGCAGAAGGGCAACTCAGGGGAAATGGGCTCAGTGAGTCACCAGAAGTCACTTTCCTCCTGGAAAGGTCTGGATGCAGATGCTGCAGACCTGGTCGGTGTTATCAGATGTGTTCGGGGATTGGAGCTGGAGCTTCATTGTGAAACATCCTCATGATGAGACAACATTTCTGGTCGGGCACGGTGACTCATGCCTCAGCACTTTGGGAGGCCAAGGCAGGTGGATCACTTGAGGTCAGGCGATCACAACTAGCCTGGGTAACATGGTGAAACCCACCTCTACTAAAAATACAAAAATTAGCTGGGCATGGTGGTGGGCGCCTGTAGTCCCAGCTACTTGGGAGGTTGAGGCAGAAAAATCACTTGAACTGGGGAAGCAGAGGTTGCAGTGAGCAGGGATCATACCACTGTACTCCGGCATGGGCAACAGAGCAAGACTCCATCTCAAAAAATAAAAATAAAAAATTCTGACTCTTTAAAAACAAACCAAAACTACACCAACACTGAGCCATTCACATGCTCTCCGGATTTGGAAAAAGACACAAAACCAAAATAACACTGAGGCAAAGAGCAAGTCCCCCATACTGTAAAGGTATCAGCTCCACTACCTCTGGTCTCATCAGGGTCTCACCAGATGAAGCCTGCCCCTAGTAAGCTGGTCTCGCGCTACAGCTGGGCCCAAGGGCTGGGTGAGCGCCTGGGGCTGTCCACAGTGAGCAGATTCACCACGCTGACTGAGGAAGACCCTGTCACCGTGGGCACGAAGCCAGGATTCCTTTGGCCTTCTGCTGCTGGAGGAAAACTAGGCTGATTCAGGAGGTCTCGCCACTGCTCTCTAGCACTGACCAAAGTCCGGATGTCAGACTGTGAGGTCATAAATCACAAGTCTCTGTACTCCTCTGAGCTCCAGTTTCCACATCAATAAAATGGCAATAATCACATCTGACGATTGGGCAGGATTCTGTGAACTAATGGGCACAAAGCTCTTGCAAAACCCTACGTAACGGAAGGTGTTACTGACGACCAGCACTCAAGTCCTTCCTCCAGCCGCTGCATGGAAAGTTCCCAAGTGTCCCTAGAAGTCTGGAGAATTCTAATGTTGACTGGAAGGAATAAGATAGATCTCTTGTTCTGATATAGAAGCGTCCCGAATCCAGTCGTATCAGCTGGGAGGCAGTGCCAGCTCCTGGTGAAAACCGCATGGATTTGGGATTTGGACAGATCCCTCTGAATTGAAGTCTTAGGGAACCCACTTGCGCCTCTGGCCAACTAAAAAAGGAATGGCAAACCTACTTCACTGGAGTTGAATAAGGATTAAGTGAAATAATGCAGGTGAAATATCTGACCCTCGGTATATACCAGCCTCATGTGTATGTGTTCCCATTTAGGTAAAACAACAGTGTAAGCATATTCATAGAAAGCAATTCAGAATGTACACTAAACTATAAGCAATGGTTATCTTGGTGTGGGGCGTTGGGGAAACCAGGGGCCTGCCTTTTCCTCCATCATATAATGCTGCCAAGTTTGATCTTTAAAAAAAGGACCTTAAAAAGTCCAACTGTATTTTAAACAAAAATTATAATACCTGGGTAAATAGCATCTAAACAAAGAAAGAAACTGAAGGCAGAGCCAGGCCCAACCCTGGGAGACTGAGGAAGCGATTCTGCTCTGCCTGCCCCAGCTCAACTCCTGCACTAAAAATCCCCGGCTGCAGCCCCAAGGTCCAGGGGGCTGTCCTGGGGGCAACCCGGCACCCCCCAATTGTCGCTTTTCTTGCACACACACACACACACACACACAGGCTCGAATCCCCGCCTCCCAAGGGAAAGTGTGTGTGTGTGTGTGTGTGTGTGTGTGTGTGTGTGTGTGTGTTTTGGAGACGGGATTTCACCATGTTGGCCAGGATGGTCTAGATCTCTTGACCTCGTGATCCGTCCGCCTCGGCCTCCCAAAGTGCTGGGATTACAGGCGTGAGCCACCGCGCCCGGCGGGAAAGTGTGTTTTTTTAGGGTCTGTTCCAGGGCCAGCCGGGTCCCGGGGCCGAGGTGGGATTACGAGTGCCCGGGGCCCCTCGCCGGGCAGAGTCAGTCCCGGCAGCTGCGGCCTGGCTGAGTCAGCCCGGCGGGCGGCGCGCGCGGCGCCGCGTGACCCGCCGCCACGTGACCCGCGCGGGGCCGGGCCGCCAGCGCAGTCGCTGCAGCCGTAGCGGGAGGCGTCCGCGTAAGTGGGGAGCGGGGCTGGCAGGGACCTTCCTCGCGGGCGGAAGCGCGGAGCGCTGCCCCAGCCCTCTGGCACCCGGGACCCCGGGGAGCCTCTCTCACCCATTTTCCAGGCGGGATTGGAGAGGCGATGGGGTCGTAATCGGGGTGAGGGACACGCTGTACCCCACCGATGGCCGCACGGGCTACCTTCGCCTAGTGCCTCCCCACTCCCGCTGACCGCAGTGCTGGGGAAGCAAAACGTCCTCCTTCGGAGCGATTACCTTTTCCCGCTTGTGCTTTGGGGGGAAACTGAGGACCCAGAGAGGTTCGCAAAGCAGGCCGGGCCAGTAGGAACACCCTTCCACTCGTCCTGAGACACCACGCAGCTCCCCAGGCAGAGCTCATGGCCCCAGCTGCCCTAGTGGCCCAGCACGATCGATCCCGTGACCTCTCTACTCCTGGAGGAAGAGTCGCGGGGTAGGGGGCGGGGAGGGGTAGAGTATCGCGCTCGCGTACCGGCAGCGGTAGAGGAGGCGGGGCTGCTGAGCCGAGCTTCTGTCTGGATGGCAACAGGCAACATAGTAAATGCTAGGTGGTTTACATGCGTTCTCTCATTTCACATTCCCCGTGGTGAAATCTGTGAAGTACGTACTATCGTCCCCATTTTTACATGGGAGGAAACGGCTCAGAGAGAACTTAAGTCCTTTGACCGAGGTCCTGCGGTGGGTAAGTGAAGGAGCTGGGGTTAGAGTGGCGCCTCCTGGTGGGTTGTGGGTGGTGGAGACGCCTGGCCCAGCCTCTTAGTTCCTCTGGGAGTAGAAAGTCAGGATTGTTGCTGGGTGAGAAAGGCTTCTCCTGCCACCTCCATCCCTTTCTCTGCCCCTTACCATTGATTCCTTTCTGTTATCCCCTCGCCCCCGCTGCAGGACAACATGAAGCTCATCATCCTGGACCACTATTCTCAGGCCAGCGAGTGGGCGGCTAAATACATCAGGAACCGCATCATCCAGTTTAACCCAGGGCCAGAGAAGTACTTCACCCTGGGGCTCCCCACCGGTGTGTTCTTGGATGGAGGGGCTGCCATGGATAGGGGTGGAGAGAGTAGGCAACAGGGGCCAGGTACATAGGCTCACTCAGCCAAGGGACTTCATGGGCGCTCTGGGGTACTGGTGCTGAGAGAGCACCTCCCTGCCCCTTCCATTTACAAAGGACCCAGCTTCTCTTATGAGTTGGTTTAGTCGCTGCCTGTTCCTGCAGAATCCTCGAGCAGAAAGGATCTTGGTTAGGCAGGAAGAACTTGATTTTTAGGCTACATCCTAAGTCAGCCTTGTCTACCAGGGTTTCTTAATAGAATTAAGTCTGATACCCTAACGCATTCATTTTATGTAATGAATTAATTTCTCTTCTCTGCATCTAGAGGGGTGCTAGCTAAGTACCATCCTTGGGAGAATTGAGAAGATAGTCACTTAGATAATCTTCTGTAAGGCTTAATTAAACACAGGACCTAAGTAAAAAGCAGTCCTGGTTTTTGGAAAAATCAACATGTGGCTTTTTTAGAAAGATATTTTAACCCCAGCTCCTCAAGACAAATGTCCTGATTATTTCTTTCAGAGATGGGTGGGTTTGCCCTAGTGGCCCTACATGATGCATCCATTAGAGAGAGAGGGAGAGACTGTGTGTGTGTGTGTGTGTGTGTGTGTGTGTGTGTGTGTGTGTGTTGGGGGGGGATCTTCGAACTTTTTCTTGTTTTTTTTTTGGTCTTCCTTGCAGTCCAAACTTTTTCTGTAAATGGCCAATAGTAAATACTTTAGACTGCACTAGCCATGCAGACTCTGTTGCAACTACTTAACTCTTGTTGTTTGAAAGCAGCTATAATTAGCCTGGTGTGGTGGTGCTCACCTGTAGTCCCAGCTACTTGGGAGGCTGACGTAGGAGGATTGCTTGAGCCAGTAGATTGAAGCTGCAGTGAGCCATGATTGTGTCACAGTACACCAACCTGGTTGACAGAGTGAGACCCTGTCTCAAAAAAAGAAAAGACAAAATATAAATGAATGAGTATGGTTGTATGTCAATAAAACTTTATGGACACCGAAGTTTGGCCTGACCAAGATGGTGAAACCCCATCTCCACTAAAAATGTAAAAACTAGTCAGGCATGGTGGCGTGTGCCTGTAATCCCAGCTACTAGGGAGGCTGAGGCAGGAGAATCGCTTGAACCTGGAAGGTGGAGGTTGCAGTGAGTGGAGATCGTGCCACTACATTCCAGCTTGGGTGACAGAGCAAGACTCTATTTAAAAAAAAAAAAAAAACAAAAAAAAAAACCAGCCGCAGGCTAGATTTGACCTGTGGTCCGAAGTTTGCTGAGCTCTGCCCTAGAGGTTTGTGGGAGTGGTTCCACCTGTGCCTGTGAAACCACCAATGTCTCAGGCCCTCTGGAGGCTGTGCTAACATCCTGTCTCCTAACTGTGGGGAGACCCAACCTCTGTATGTGTCAGAGTCTGGCCTTCTGAAACTGTTCCTTAGTTCCCATCATTGCAGAGTCAGATCCAAGCTCTTCAAGTGGCATTCAGGGTCCTCCAAGACCTGGCCTCTCCCTGCCTGTCCTTCGGGAACCAGCAGGACAGCATTTCCACATGGGTTCCTTGGAACATTCCTTCTGTTAGATGTGGCACCTGTCAGGGTTCTGAGTGGAATCCACAGAAACCAGCTCCAGCTAAATTAAGCAGAAAAGGAGTTTATTGGCTAGATATTGGAAAGCTCAGAAAATTGATGGGAAGGCTAGAGGTTTGGAAGATGGCAAGAAAGAGGAAGCCATGTAGCTCAGGCATAGTTAAGGCCTAGTCACACGGACCAACTGATTATTTTGGGTGGGCTCTGGAGAGCTGCCATTCACTCGGCAGGTATTTATTGAATACCCTCTGTGTGCAAAGCTGTTCTAGGTTGTGAGGATACAGCAATGAACAAAAAGGATATAAAATTCTGCCTTCTGAAACTTAAAGTATAATGGGAAAGACAGATAATAAACAATCAGGAAAATATAGAGCCTGCTAGATGGTGGTAAGAGGAAAGGAGAAAACATGAAGCAGGAAAGGATAGGGAGTGTGTCAGCGGGGCTGGGGCTCTGCAGTGCCGGATGGTGGCAGGGAGGCTGTCAGCCAGGGGCCAGGTTCTGTGGAGCCTTAGAAGGTCTGGTGTTGCTGAGAGTGAAATGAGAAGCTATTGGATTTTGAAAAGAGGAGTGACATGACGTGATCTAGATTTTTTTTTTTCCTTTCATCTTTTTATTTTGCAAAATTTCAAATATTCAAAAAAGCTGTAAAAACAGGTCAATACCATTCACCTACATTCACCAGTTGTTACCATTTTGCCACATTTACTTTGACCTTTCTCTGGCCCTTGTTCTTTATCTACACACACACAAGGTTTTTTTCTGAACCACGTGAAAGTAAGTTCCAGACATCCTGACACTTCTTTCTAAACCCTTCAGCATATAAATCCTAAGAATACGGACATTCTCCTACACAACCATGACACCATCATACCTAAGAAAATGAAAAATCAAGCCATCATCTCATATGCAAACTATGTTCACAAGTTTTTCTCAGTTAGTCCACATTTATCTTTTATAGGTTGGTTTTTAAAAATTTAATCCAGTGTCCAGTCAAGGTTAATACATCTTTAGTCTTTTAATATACAGTGTCTACCTGCCTTTTATTATGTGTGTGTTTTTATGACATCGACTTTTTTTTTTCTCAAGATGGAATCTGGCTCTGTTGCCCAGGCTGGAGTGCAATGGTGTGATCTTGGCTCACTGCAACCTCCGCCTTCCAGGTTCAAGTGATTTTTGTGCCTCAGCCTCCCAAGGAGTAGCTGGGATTACAGGTGCACGCCACCATGCCCAGCTAATTTTTGTATTTTTAGTAGAGGCAGGGTTTCACCATGTTGTCCAGACTGGTCTTGAACTTCTGACCTCAAGTGATCCACTCGCCTCAGCCTCCCAAAGTGTTGGGATTACAGATGTGAGCCACCGCACCCAGCCATGACATTGACTTTTTAATGAGAGTCAGCTAGGGCTTCACTGCTCCTCAGGGAAGTCTTCCTTGAACCCTGAAGCACTGGGTGAGCCTGTGCTTTACCCTGTCACAAATGATGTTCCTGCTTTGTGTTCTACTCCTAAGCAGTGAGTTCTTTTAGAGTAGCTACTGTCTTTTGCTCCCTGTGTCCTTATCACATGGCCCTGTGCCTTGCACATAGTACTTGCTTAGGGAGTATCGTGTCAGTAATTAAGTCTGACATTTACTCAGGTACAGATCAGAGTGATATCAGTCATCAGTGTGCTGGGCCCTGGGGATTCAGCAGTGATCAAGGCAGACACAGCCCTGCCCTCCTGGAGCTTACAGTCTAGTGGTGAAATAGGCATTAAACAAGCAATTAATGGATGGATGGCAGTTTGGATTGGAGTAGTGGGTAGGACTTCAGATCTGACAGAGTCTCCCTGTAAGCAGCCCTGATTCATTCCTGTATACCAGACTGGGGGTGCGAGGGGCTTTCATGGCTGTGGCCTCTCTTGCAGGGAGTACCCCACTTGGCTGCTACAAGAAGCTGATTGAATACTATAAGAATGGGGACTTGTCCTTTAAATATGTGAAGACCTTCAATATGGATGAGTATGTGGGTGAGTCTTTCTCTTTCAAAGATCTTTCCTGATTCTAGGAGACTCATGATGCTCCTCTCGTTGGCCCGGAATCGGGGAGCCAGTGACATTTGGTGATAGGCTCAATTATCAATACTTACCTCTTGGTTTACTCAGCTATAAAATGGGGCTAATAAAGCTGACCTCACAGGTTGTCAGCATTAAATGATATTATAATAGATGTGGAAGTTTCTTATACATAGCAAATACTTAATAAATGTTAGAGTATCTTCTTCTCTGCCTACTCCCCAACTCCATGCCATTTCTTTCTGGAACAAATGATTGCAAGTGGGATCCCGGCTAGGGTGCTTTCCCTGGGATTTGTGTCTGGGCATTCTCTCCAGTGTGCGGCCTCCAGCTCGCCTTTCTACCAGGTACACTTGGAGGGGACCTGAGATTGGTGTCCTTCCTGCTGTTGAAAAGCTCTATCTTGGTCTTCTATCACTTCACCTTCCCTGAGTCATTTTGTAATAGCTTCACTTTAAACATCCTTTAAAAAAAATTGTGCCACTTTGAGAGGCTAAGGCGGGCAGACCATGAGCTCAGGAGTTTGAGACCAGTCTGACCAACATGGTGAAACCCCGTCTCTACTAAAAATACAAAAACTAGCAGAGCATGGTGGCACATGCCTGTAGTCCCATCTGCTTAGGAGGCTGAGGCAGGAGAATCGCTTGAACCTGGGAGGCAGAGGTTACAGTGAGCCAATATCGCGCCACTGCACTCCAACCTGGGCAACAAAGCAAGACTCTGTCTCAAAAAAAAAAAAAAAAAAAAAAAAAAATTGTGGTAAAATACATGTAACATGACATTTACCATCTTAACCACCTTTCTGTGTACAGTTCAGTAGTGTTAAGTCCATTCACATCTTTGTGCAACCAATTTCCAGAACTCTTTTCCCCCTTCACCAACCACCAGAAACCACCATTTTAATGCCTGTTTCTATGAATCTGACTAGTCTAGAATCACACTAGAGTATATAACTGGAATCATAAAGTATTTGCCTTTTTGACTGGCTTCTTTCACCTAGCATAAAGTCCACAAGCTTCATCCATTGTTGGAAAATTTCCTTCCTTTTTAAGGCTAATTTGACATATTCTTAATGCTTAACATTAAACATTTTTTTCTTCCTGGCTAAAAAAAAGTTGATTTGGGGGAAGCCCGGAGATAGTTCTCTCTAACCACCTGGTGTTCAAGCTGGAATTTATTCAGGCTGAGCGGGTGGAACTGGGAGTAGATGGTGGGGTGAGTGGCACAGGGTGAGGGGTACGCTTGCTTGCTTTCTAAGATGGTCCCAGCGCTACCCCAGGTGACCAGAGTGTCCCCAGCCTCTAGTGTATGGTCATTGCCTTATGAAAAGCAGATCAGAATGTGGGGATTTCCCATGCTCCTGGTGTGCAGTTACTCTGGCCCAGCCCTGTGGCCACAGATGGTGACACTGGGTGGGTAGACACTTATGGATACTGGCTCAGCCTATCCTGAGTGGCTAGGGGTCAGAAGGCTGGTGCCCAAGGCTCCCAGATGGGCAGACCCCTGGGAGTATCTCTATAGGTTGCATGGTGTCCTGGCATCCTCCTTAGGAGGGGGGCTTTGGCTTGGCCTAGGCTTGACTGAGTGTCCCATGGCCTGACAGGCCTTCCTCGAGACCACCCGGAGAGTTACCACTCCTTCATGTGGAACAACTTCTTCAAGCACATTGACATCCACCCAGAAAACACCCACATTCTGGATGGGAATGCAGTCGACCTACAGGCAGAATGTGATGCCTTTGAAGAGAAGATCAAGGCTGCAGGCGGGATCGAGCTATTTGTTGGAGGTGAGCTTGACGCTCTGCAGCACGCATGTCCAGGGCCAGACTCGTGGGAAGAAGGACAAGACACCATGCCTGTCACCAGACAGCTTCTTCTGGGTGTGCTGGTGACTGTAGAGACAGAGGTGGGAGAAATGGGCCCTGCCTGGCTCTGTTACTCAGGAACTGTGTTATCTTGGGGATCTCTTTCTGCAGTTTGATGCCTTGTCTGTAAACTGAGAGGTTTGAGTCTGGACTCCGAGTTTCTGTCTACTCCCCAGTCTTAAGGCTTTATGGATCAGTCCTGGAACTTATCTAAACATTTAACATCACAAACTCACGTAGTTCCAGAGGCTCCATACAGCCCCTATAGATAGCCCGTTGAACCCCAGAGAAGTTAGGTGACTCACTCAAGGTCCGCAGGCAAGAGCAGGTGTCTGCCTCTTCAATTTGCGCTCTGGTTCCTCCTCTGGGCTGCCCTTCTGTGTGTCCATCTGTTGCCACCTCTGGAGTTACCCATGAGGGGTAACATTGAACTGCCTTTTATTGCTCTAGAGATTACTCTTATCTACGAGAGTGGGGAGGAAGTGGGCAGGAGCTCTCATTCTCTGAGATATTAGAAGCTATCTGGGTTCTCTGGTGTTTTATTCACTGTACCTCTATCCCAGAAGCAGGATACTCTAACTCTAGGCAGAAGAGACAGAGAAGGTATACTTTTCTAACAATCTGGGGAGGCAGAAGCTGTTTGGAGTGCTGCTTCCTCAGCTTTTTGAGGTTGATAGCAAGTTAACAATGTCTGTGTGTGCCTCAGATAGTAATGGTGGGGAGGGTCTCCTCTGAGACAGTACAGCAAAGAGAAAGAAATGGTAGGGAGGGGGACAGATCACGTTTAAGGTGTACCTGCCCAGGGCTGCAAATGAGAAAGGTGACACAGTTTTCAATGGTTTTTTTTTTCAGACCCTAGTTAGGGAAGGAGAGATTGTCCATGCTTGAAATCTTGGATCCCTGGGACTCACAGGGCTGCGCTGGCTCTCTCCCTGTAGGCATCGGCCCTGATGGACACATCGCCTTCAACGAGCCAGGCTCCAGTCTGGTGTCCAGGACCCGTGTGAAGACGCTGGCCATGGACACCATCCTGGCCAATGCCAGGTTCTTTGATGGAGAACTCGCCAAGGTGCCCACCATGGCCTTGACGGTGGGGGTGGGCACTGTCATGGATGCTAGAGAGGTAAGGGTGCAAGGGCCCCACCAGCCTTGCACTGGGGTGGACTTGTCTTTCTCTTGTTAATCTTAACTATACTGGTACCACCTACATACTAAAGATGAAGACATGATAAATAAGGCTAAACTCCTTGCTGCCCTGTTACTCACTGTTCCTCTTGCCTCTTCGGAAGACATCATTATTCCCAGCGTGAGGTGAATCCCTTGAGCACTTTTTTGGTGCCTTCAGCTGACTGCCTGGGACACCAGGCTCTCTGGCCTCGGGCCCCTTTCATGCTTTTCACAGGCAGAGAGGAGGCCAGCATCGCTAATGTTGGAATATGAATTTGTACCTGACCAGGTATGGAGAAAGGGGGTCCCTGGTTCCTTGTAGTTGGTAGAGGTCACTGTGTGGACACCAGGGTTGCGTGCGTTTTTAGGCCCATGCTCAGAGATTAATAAATGTGGTGATGTGTGATTAAAATGTGTTTTAAGCTGAATTTAGTTTTTTCCCCTAAAACACTGGCTATCATTAGAATTTGGATTTTTTTTTAAATTTTATTTTATTGCATTTTAGGTTTTGGGGTACATGTGAAGAACATGCAAGATTGTTGCATAGGTACACACGTGGCAGTGTGATTTGCTGCCTACCTCCCCATCACCTATATCTGGCATTTCTCCCCATGCTATCTCTCCCCACCTCCCCACCCCCTGCTGTCCCTCCCCTATTTCCCCCCAACAGACCCCAGTGCTGAATTTGAATTTTTTGTGGTTCCAATTTCCTTGCTTTCATGAGAACTTTAGAAGCATTTTCTCTTCCTTTCTGACATGTATTCAGTAGGAAGCAGCTAAGACAGGTTAGATTTACATTTCTTTGCCCAAGTCAATAAACAAGCATCTAAATCAGTGAAAAAATCCATTTAAGGTGAACTTTTGTGAAATGAGTGATGGCACCCAGATTTCTTTTGGGTAACCTTCAATTAGTACATGGGGCTTGGGCGTTTACTTGCTGTTTTTGGCCTTGCAGCTTGGAAACGGGTTGAGGGCCATCCTTATTGTGAGGGCATCTTGATCTGGGAAAGGGCCTGGGGCTGGAAATCAGGAAATTCTTTTTTCTGAAAAGAGTTCTGGGTTGCTGAAGGGTCTGGAAGAAATAGTCACATTCCCTCTATGCTTCTGCATTCTAATCTTTTAGGAAACGAACAGCAAATCCTGTTCACAACTCTGTGGCACATGTGAATTAAAATGAAAGGAAATCTATGGAACTGAGGGTTTTTTTTCCCTTTTCCTGCCCTTGAATAGAGCTGAGTTCTTTAAGATCATTTACATTCTTGATATTTTAACTGTTAAATGGAGACTGTGCCTTTGTTTTATTATATATAAACAAAACCATCACCCCAAATCACATTAGGTCATAGGTTTAATGTTGTGAACTGAAAGTGACCAGATTATGGGGCAGCCTTTCTGGGATTCAGCCTTAGAGGCCCCACAGATAACTCCCATCATTGCTTGCAAAGTGCCCTTGCTGGTGGTACAGGTTGGCAGCCCTCTTTCACAAACTGTGCTTGTGGAAAGTCACCAGCTGATGAGATCACAGGCCTGGGCATGGCATGTCTGTTTGCAGGGCACCTTCACAGTCATCATCAAAGATACCTGGAGGCACTGTCATGTGGTGGTCAGGAACATGGACTTTGGGGTCATCAATGACCCTGGCCAAGTTACTTACCGCCCTGGGGCTCCATTTCCTTACCACATAACGTGGGGATAATAATGCTGCCTGCCTCGGGTTATTTGTGTGTTAAAGCGCAGGGAGCGCTGAGCAAAAGTATGTTGCGTGGTAACCACTTACAATGTGATATGAAAAACTATCATCCTTACAACTATCTGGGGTATATGGACTGCTCCCCTCCCTCATGGACTTGTTTTCTGATCCTCAGGTGATGATCCTCATCACAGGTGCTCACAAGGCATTTGCTCTGTACAAGGCCATCGAGGAGGGAGTGAACCATATGTGGACCGTGTCTGCCTTCCAGCAGCATCCCCGCACTGTGTTTGTGTGTGACGAGGATGCCACCTTGGAGCTGAAAGTGAAGACTGTCAAGTATTTCAAAGGTGAGGGAGGTGTGGGTACAGGAGCAGGTGGTCAAGCTCAGGGTGTGCTAAGAGTGAGAAGGAGATCCAGCTTTGATCCTCTGGTCATTTTAATTGACAATTGTAATCTTAGTAAATATCAAACTTGACTGCATCACACTACACAGTCATTTCTCTTCTGCCTGTGACTGCAAAGATCCATTTCTGGAGATCTGTTTGCTCTGAGAAGGAGAAAAGAAAACGCAGCGTGTGGTCCAAGGACTATGTGGTGACTTCGCAGTGCCATTGAGCCTCAGGCTTTCTCTTTTCAAATCTTATACAGCCATTCCCCTCTAGGTGAGGCACTGAATTATCAGGAGGATCTTCCTTTCTTTTACTTTATTTTTTTGAGACAGGGTCTTGTTCTGTCGCTCAGGCTGGAATGCAGTGGTGTGATCTTGGCTCAGTGCTACCTCCACCTCCCAGGTTCAAGTGATTCTCCTTGCCTCAGCCTCCCAAGTAGCTGGGATTACAGGTGCCCACCACCATACCTGGCTAATTTTTATATTTTTAGTAGAGACAGGGTTTTGCCATGTACCCCAGGCTGGTCTCCAACTCCTGACCTCAGGTGATCCACCCACCTAGGCCTCCCAAAGTGCTGGGATTACAGGCATGAGCCACCATGCCCGGCCCTTCTTTTACTTTAAAAGGATGCATGCTGCTTTAGGCAAACGTGAATATCCTCTTTTACACAAGCAGGTCAATTAGTAATTTGTTCTTTGCTGAAAAGACTAACCTTTAAATAGTCAACTCCCATAGTGATTGAATTTATAAAAGTTCCATGAATACAGTACTCACTGCGAATAACTCTTTTCATATTTTTAGGGTGTTTATCATTTATTATAGAGAAAAGAGAGACATGTCAGCTCTAAGACAAAATTTGAGAGCTCCTGGATGTTAGGATTGATAGAGGAACTCTTGCCACTGCCTGAATTAACTACTTTTTGTTTTTAATTTTTTGTAGGTTTAATGCTTGTTCATAACAAGTTGGTGGACCCCTTGTACAGTATCAAAGAGAAAGAAACTGAGAAAAGCCAATCTTCTAAGAAACCATACAGTGATTAGCCTGTGCTGGGACCGAGTGTCAGATACCCATAGGGAAAGGCAGGTCTTTCTGGAAATTGTCTTTAGAAGAAAGAATTCTATTTCTTTAATCTAGCATGGTTACTCCAGATAAGTGGGTGAACTTATTGTTCTTGGCTATGAGGCTGGGAGCCTAGTCATGGAGTTTAGCTATAGGGAGAATGATTTGTTTGTAACTTAATCAGAAAAAAAATCTCTGAAAAATGTATTCCATCATTTTGATGTCTGCCAAACCCAGGTTGGGAGTTTTAAGCTTTTTCTTCTGCTTCAGTCACATGTATGACACACTCTTGTCAGGAATTTCTCTCCTTACATGCACTGATTTTCAAGTGGGAGGGAATTAGGGGCTTGTGTATATTGGACACAACCTCTTTGAAGAGCCTTGAGAGTCCCTCTTGCACAGGCCTGCCCCTTGGTTGAGAACCACTGTTCCAGGTTAAGGCACAAAACTCTCAATATCTAAAGTAAGTGCAAAGAAGAAGTCTCTCTGGCCCGCAACAAGTGCAATGGAAAGAAAACGACCCCTTCCTTCCTTCCTCTAGTTGTTTTCCAGTTTCACAGCTCTTCTCTGAACTGGGAGTACTTGGGGGAGGATTTGGGTAGGTGGGGCCAAAGAGGTGGCTTCTACTGATAAACCCAGAGCTTCAAGGGGCCCGGCCACATCAAACTTCGCTCCCCCAGGGACTCTTCAGCACCAAAAGGAGGAAGGTGGAAGCCCCTTTCCCCCAGAGCCCTGTTTTTGTGAAAGGCCTCACTGTGGCTCCTGTTTTATATGCTCATTAGTAGGTAGGCGGTCCACTGGGGCAACAGACACTGCCACAATTTCAGGGTTGTGTTCAGCCAAGGGGACTGTCTGGGCAGGCAGCTTAAGTGTGAGCTTAGTCACAACTCCTGAGTGTCCCACTCTCCTGCTTCCCTAGGAAGTGAGTGCTGGGAAAACACTCCAAATGCTTCAGTTTTGTTTCCCCACTTACTTAAAATAGTTCTGCTCAGATTCACGTGGTGTGGTCTGATCTTTTGCCCATTTATCCTTCTCCCCAGATCCCAAGGTGGTCTGTTGCTCTGGCTTCCTTTCATTCTCTTAGGCCTTCATGGAGTGGATGCTGCCTCCTCCTTGCTGTTTTTGTGCCTGCTTGAAGCTGCCGCTGCCTCTCTCTCTGGAAGAGACTTTTGAGAGCCTGGCTCAGGCCTAAGGGCTATGTTTGGTACCCGTGTTTTGTCTTTAGCTTTTCTACGTGATTGTGCTGTCATTCTGTTTTAAGTTCATGGATCGATGGATTTGTTTACAATGCGATATTTTCTATTAAATCCAGTATTTTCAAATAACATGTCATTTGTGGATTTGAGCCCCAAATTTAGAAGACTCTCTGGGCTATTTGTACATTTTAAAAAGAGCTGGTTAGCAAAGCCTCACACTCGGTCCTAACAAGAGCTTGCAGGAAGGTCACACGCAGAGCAGCCATTTATTGATCTCTTCTCCAGTCATCAGAGTAAAAATAAGAGATTTTATGAAACTGAAGCACCTATATGAAAAAGGGTAGGAATGAACAGATGAGAAATTGTCATGTTCTGGCTGCACCTGAGATCCAGATGAGGATACAGCTGTTATAACAACTAAGGCAGATTTGTGATGAGGGATAAAAAATTGCAAAGTATGGAAAAATACATTTAGATTTTTATTTTTTTAATATGATGAAATAGCTTAGGTCAATATAGCCAATTAAGGAGGTAGATGTAGAAGTTGGAAGAAGGGTTTTTTTTTAACAATTTTGAGGCTGGGTATAGCGGCTCACACCTGTAATTCCAATACTTTGGGAGGCCAAAGCAGGAGGATCACCTGCAATCAGGAGTTCAGAACCAGCCTGCGCAACATAACAAGACCCTGTCTCTACGAAATTAAAAAAAATTAGACAAGCATGCTGGTACATGCCTGTAGTCTCAGCCACTCAGGAGGCGGAGGTGAGAGGATTGCTTAGGCCCAGGTGTTCAAGACTGCTGTGAACTATAATTGCATCACTGCACCCAGCTCTAGATAACAGAACAATACCCCATCTCAAAAAAAAAACAACCAATTTTGAGATATAATTTACGTGCTGATAAAATTAACATTTAAATATAAATCCAATTATTTTTATGTTTATGGAATTGTGTACCTCCTTACCACAATACTTTTTTTTTGAGACCCTAAAGTCTCACTGTGGTCTCCCAGGCTGGAGTGCAGTGGTGCAATCTCGGCTCACTGCAACTTCTGCCTCCTGGGTTCAAGTGATTCTCCTGCCTCAGCCTTCCCAGTAGCTGGGATTACAGATGTGCAGCAGCACATCCAGCTAATTTTTATATTTTTAGCGGAGATGGGGTTTCACTATGTTGACCAGGCTGGTCTTGAATTCCTGGCCCCAAATGATCTGCCTACCTCGGCCTCCCAAAGTCCTGGGATTACAGGCATGAGCCACCGCGCCCGGCCCCACAATCCATTTCTATCATTCCCCAAGGCTCCCTACTCCTAACTCCAGTCCCAGGCAATTACTGGTCTGCTTTGTGTCCATAGATTTACCTTTTCTGGTCATTTCACATAAATGGAATCATGTGAGATGACATCTTTTGTGTCTGGCGTTTTTCACTAAGCATAATGTTTTTCAGGTTCGCATAACACACAGTAGTAGTCCATTCCTTTTTACTGCTGTGTAGCATTCCATTTTGTGGACATACGTTTTGTTTATCCAATCAAGAAAGTTTAAATTTTAAGTATGTTATAGAAAAGAAATTAACTATATTAAAATTAAACAAAAAAGGATTTAGTGATGACAGCTAAACTGGATATGTCTGTATGAACTTGAGATCTTAGATCTGATGTCTTTCCCAAGTCTGTTTTCTTGGATGCTCAACAGCACTGTCCTGCTACAACCAGTGCTTATGTATTCAAGTGGGATATATACCCCTGGGTCAGCTTGGGCCTCTGATATCAGGGATCCTTGAATAGGAGCTAATCATATGTTTGGGGGCAGGGATCAGAGTGGGCCTGGAATATTTTGTTACTGGAAATAAGGGTGCTTTCAAAAATGTCTGGAGCTGGTCGGGCACGGTGGCTCATATCTGTAATCCTAACACTTTTGGGAGGCCGAGGCAGGCGTATCACCTGAGGTAAGGAGTTCAAGACCAGCCTAGCCAAGATGGTGAAATGCCATCTCTACTGAAAATACAAAAAATTAGCTGGGTGCAGTGGCATGTGCCTGTAATCCCAGCTACTTGCGAGGCTGAGGCATGAGAATTGCTTGAACCTGGGAGGTGGAGGTTGCAGTGAGCTGAGATCATGCCACTGCACTCCAGCCTGGGCTGCAGAACAAGACTTTGTCTTTAAAAAAAAAAAATCTGGGGCTTGTCCCAGTAAGGCTGGGGATGAAATAAAACAAAACAAAAGTGTCTGAGGCAGTTTTGAGAGGACAAAACAGCCAGTTTAATGGGTTCCCACTGACCATTTTCACAATTTGATCAAAAAGGAAATATTAAATACAGCTGACTGGATCAAGTTGAATTTGTAAAACAGCAAGTTTGAGAAGAAAGGGAAAAGGTAACATTAAGTGCACACAGAGTTGTATTTCAGGAAGAGTTACAGAATGTGTTTAAAGTTTTATTATATTTAGTGAAAAGTGGCAGTGTTAACATCAGTGGGTGCTGCTCTCCTTCCATTAGTCTGTTTATAAAGCAGAGGTGAACACAAGAGCCTGGCCCGCCATTCCCCCGCTGGCCTGCTCTTCTCCCCTTTCCGTCCTTCAGGGCTTGCCTCCAATGTCATTTATCAGATAACTCTTCCCCGACCCTCCAGTATAAAGCTGCAACCCCCAAGTTCGTATCCTTGCCGTGTGCTGTTTTCTCAGAACCTTTTCCCACCAGACATGTATTTTGTTTCCCCCTAAATATAAGCTCCATGGAGGCAGATGTTAAATACTGCTCTGTTCTGCTCCTATAGCAGTGCCTTGGTATCTAGAAGGCACTGGTATTTGTTGAACCATAAGCCTGGTAGTTGTCCCTGAGTAGTGACTGTATACAACCACCAGGGGAAATCATAGCATATTATATAATGGATGAGCCAAATAGCCTACTGAGGAGATCTAACTCGGAAAATCTGATGCTTCTTTCCCGGGAACCAAAATCCTTACTGTGATGAGATGCTAGTGAAACACGTCCATTTCCAGTAAGATACAGTGTGACAGGATTTTGAGTTATGCAGTAATGGGCAGACAAAACAGAACCTAGTCATTTGGACCCCAGGGGAGCCATTACCACCAGCTGGCAGTCATACTACATTAACAATCATACTAGTCCATTTAGTCTCCTCAAAGACTAATTTGTAAGGTCCCAAACCTCTAACCCCTCTACCCCAGCTTTCCTCTCAGCCGATAACCTCAAAAACAAAAGCGATCAGAAAAGAATGTCCATGAGTTCCCACCATCACACACCCACAAGCCAGCCCTGCTCTCACACTCTGCTGTCCTGTTACCTGCTCCTTGGCTGAGCCCTCTGCTTGCACATCAGATCCCGTCCTCTTTTGCCTCCTTGAAGATGTTGCTCTGACAACACTCCCATCTCTCACCTACAGCATCAAACTGTCCTCTCCTGGACCACTCCCATGCCATTCAAGACAAGATTTAAAAACAAAACTCCACCTCATTTGCCCTCTCAGCTACATCCTCATTTCTCTGATCTCCTTGAGAGCAGTTTCTGGAGTTACCCATGCTCTAACTTTAATCTCTCCCTCTTCTATTCTCTTTTCTCCTTCTGGTATGGTACTCCCCCTTCATCCACAAGGTATATGTTCCAGAATCCCCAGTGAATCTGAAATGTGGACAGTACTGAACCCGATAGTTTTTTTCTATATACATGTGCCTATGCTAAAGTTTAATCTATAAACTAGGCACAGTAAGAGATTAGCAGAAATAAAACAGAATTATAAGAATACCACTGTAATAAGTTATGTGAGTGTTGTCTCTCTCCCGCTCTCAAAATTTTATTGTATTGCACTTACCTATTTTTGGACTACAGTTGACCATAGAAAGTGAAACTGTGGGTTGCCGGGCGCGGTGGCTCAAGCCTGTAATCCCAGCACTTTGGGAGGCCGAGGCGGGTGGATCACGAGGTCGAGAGATCAAGACCATCCTGGTCAACATGGTGAAACCCCGTCTCTACTAAAAATACAAAAAACTAGCTGGGCATGGTGGCACGTGCCTGTAATCCCAGCTACTCAGGAGGCTGAGGCAGGAGAATTGCCTGAACCCAGGAGGCGGAGGTTGCGGTGAGCCGAGATCGCGCCATTGCACTCCAGCCTGGGTAATAAGAGCGAAACTCCGTCTCAAAAAAAAAAAAAAAAAAAAAAGAAAGCATTCTTATTATGCAGAGCTATGCTTTTCTTTCTTATTTCCTTCTTTCCTTTCCTTTTGTTTTGAGACAAGCTCTCACTCTGTTGCCCAGGCTGGAGTACAGTGGCATCATCTCAGCTCACTGCAACCTCTGCCTCCCAGGCTCAAGCAATCCTCCCACCTCAGCCTCCTCAGTAGCTGGGATTACAGGTTATGTGCCACCATGCCTGGCTAATTTGTGTGTGTGTGTATTTTGTAGAGACTGGGTTTTGCCATGTTGCCCAGGCTGGTCTCAAACTCCTGGCCTCAAGCAATCGCCTGCCTCAGCCTCCCAAAGTGCTGGGATTCCAAGTGCAAGACACTGCATCCAACCTACACTTTTAAAAATTATCCAACCATTCTTGGATATTCTGTTTTTAAAAAACTTTCCATTCCTTTTTGAAATTTTTCCATTTCAATTTGGGCAGTTTCTATTGACATATCCTCAAGCTCACTGATTCTTTGTGGCAGTGTTCAGTCTTATGAGCCCATCAAAGGTATTCATCTCCGTTTCAATGTTTTATTTCTAGCATTTCTTTTGGATTCTAAGTTTCCATCTCTTGCTTGTATTACCTGACTATTCTGGCATGTTTTTCACTTTTTCTGTTAGAGACCTGGCACATTAATCAGTTATTTTAAATTCCCAGTCTGATAACTCCCAAATCTCTACCATATCTGATGCTTGCTTTGTCTCTTTTTCCCTTTTAGCATGTTTTGTACTTTTTTACTAAAGCCAGACATGATGTATTAGGTAACAAGAACTGAGGTAAACAGGCCTTTAATGTAAGTTGTGTGTTTATCTGGCTAACAGGCTGCATCTAATGTTCGCCGTAGGTGCTAGAGGCTCTGATTTTCCTCAGTGTCCTTGTCTTCCCTGTTGTCTTTGGGTTTCCCTAGAAATTCCTTCTTAAAATAGACTCTGTGTCTTGCAGC